TTTCAAAGAGTTCAGACATACTGTAGCACTCTTGTGTTGAAGCGAATGCAGGAAAAATACCTACTAATCATCTTAAAAAAGAATCGATATCCTCACAGTTTTATCAAAAAGTGTTTAAACTCGAAGTGATAACACCAACAGCAAGTCAAAATTAAAGACCACAAGAAAATTAATCCTAGCATATATAAAAAATATCTCTGAAATAACAGCTAGAAAATAAAGATCGTTTGAAATCGATATAGCACACAAGCCATGCAGCACAATCATTTCATTCGATTATTGTCCAAACTAAAAGATAAAACAGAAAAAGAAGATAAAATTAATACTATTTACAAAATAAATTGTATGAGGGTGTAACAGAAATTTTAAACCGAGGAAACCTTAAATGTGCCAGAGAATTCCTAGAAGCCTGGTACTCAAACGAATATGCGAATAACTGACATGTTAATATAAACGAAAAAAAAGTAAATCATCTGACGAGAAGGTTTACAATCCAAGTCAATAAAAAGCGATCAATACAGATGTAAAGATGGTTACCAGGATTTCATCAATGCTTAAAGAAATTTAGCATAAAATCTTGCATACTGCATAACTTTTTATCTCTGATCTCATCTCTGTTCATTGAATAAATAAGTCAATTCCCAATGAGTAATAATCATTTGCATATTGGATATTTAAAATTTTGATTGTTTGGCCTATTCGTTAGGAGAGTAGATGAACGCCTCGATCAACAACCCTCTAGGATGAGTTCGTCTTTTGCTGAATACTGATTCTTGTATTTACGAATACTGAAACTAAAGTGCCCTATATTCTTAATTCTCCTATTAATGTGTATTCCCTGAGAGGATGTTCTTGATTGAGATATGTGGAATTGTATTGTGATCGCCCAACGTTTGCTTTTCTTACGATGATGAAATTTGTGCACTTTAAAGTTTCTCATTTGTGATCTAAATACTTCAATGGTTAAATAAATATACAAGTCCACTTTAATTACCTTAAGCTATTTTACAAGACTTTTAGAAGCAACGAAACGTATAAAAGAAGAGGAGGAGTCTTGTCGATTACATTCAACAGTTCTACTCACATTTTACCGCTTCACAATTTACTTCTCTTAACGTAGGTAATGCTAGATAGTTGGAGGCATTCTTCATTCAGGAAGCCCACTCTGAACTAGGTTTCTTGCTTCTTGGCACACACACGCACACACCAGTCACCTAGGTATGTATCTATCTCCAACCTTGTAGAAATTCATGTCCTTCCTGGGATTTCAACTCGTCTTACCCCCAGTGATACAGTCAGAGACGTTACCATTGAGCTATTCTGTGTAGTATTGACTGTATTGAATACTTTGATTGGTTTCAAGTGTTGGTTTGTAGGGATTTGATTAGTTACAGGATTTCATCGTGAGCTGACATTAGTTAGAGGACCATTGGAAAACCTGGGAGTACTGGATAGTGGTCTCCATCGTCCTAATTTGGGACTCTTCAGCACTACGCACCCACCGGGGTTCGAACCCAAGAACTTCTGGTTACAAGGCGAGTTAGCTCGTATACCATTAGGCGACTGGGATCCGATCCAATGGACAGCCCATGAATTCTAACTTCTGCCAATTCACTACATAGCGTGACCACTAGCCAATGTCTTCGGCGATTATTTGTTCTCACACCCGACCTGGTGCACCGTACTGGTCACGACTTCTCACTAGAATCCCAGGCAAATATCTACCTGAATAGGGCAAGTCGCCAGTGAGCATCTCATCGATATTCAAGTGTTGGCTTGTAGGGATTTGATTGGTTACAGGATTTCATCATGAGCTGACATCAGTTAGAGAACCATTGGAGTCCCGGTGGGTGTGTACTGATGAAGAGTCCCAAAAGAGGATGAAACAGCTGTCCAGTACTTCCAGGTTTTCCAGTGGTTCTCTAACTTATGTCAGTTCATGATGAAATCCTGTAACTTGGATTGGATATTAGGTTTTCACCACTGGCTAATGCGTCTAGTGCTTTGTTTAGCGTAGACTGAATTCTGTCACAGTCAAGTTTGCAATGTGGCCACCACCGTGCCACTGGGTACTGGGTAGGTGGCATCTGACAGCAACAATTCTGACTGCACTGCACCGTGGTAGCGAGCCAGTAAACAAAGGACGATACACACATGGCACTAGTTTAATTACTCTCTATCTAGTGTTCAGTCAAAATGTAGTAAAACTTCTTTAATTAGTAAAAAATGATATTTGTAAATAATATCACCCTGATAAATTAGTCAGAAAGTATGTAGGGAAATGTAAAGGTAAAATAAACAATGATAGCAGTGACAGTGATAATGATAATAATATTAAAAATAACAATCATAATAATACTAACATTAATTATGACATGCATTTCAAACATACACAGGATAATAACAACATCAAAGATAAGGAATCTAAATCATGATTAGTAATTCTATACAAGGAAGGAGCCTCAGAAACCTTACGCAGAATTCTTAACCATGTTGGCAGAAATGCAAGTGGCTGGTATTCAATTACCCACAAACTCAATTAGAAACATGCTGTGTTGGTTAAGGGATCATGTGGAGCCTTTAAAACAAGACAATTTACTTCATCTAATACGCTGTCTGCAACGACTGTCAGGTCAAATACATAGGTGAAACTAGTAGAACAGGGTTAGTCAGTCAGTCATACTAGCGGAGCACAAAAATCAAGCAGCAAAATCTAGATTAGTTGACTCGAATAAGATAGGAAATCTAGAGAACAGTTCAGCTGTAGCACTGACTGCATGTAATTACACACAACCATACAATATAGGCTGGATGGGATAAGATGACAGTTTTAAAATCTAATGTTACAGGGTGGAGAGAGAGATTGGTAAGGGAAGCTTTGTTTATCGAGTCAACTGAAAGAGAGAGAGAGGATACGTGTAAGAGGAATGATCCACCCAGATATCGGGAAAATTCTACTGCCTAAACGACGACAAATAGGCGAGAATAAAGAAAACCAGAAAGCTCAAGTTTCGAAGTAGTGTTATTTTGATTGGCGATATTATTATGAACCGCAATAAACCTTGTTATCCAGTAAATACTAATACTGTTTCACTCACTGTGTGATACATTTAATAAACAAACTAATATCTAGTTGTCCTGGGTTCAGGACTTTCTACGCCTGTGTCGTCCATGGACAACCGTGTAGTCTCATAAAACCTTAAAAACACGAAGTGCTGCTCATAGCTTAGGACACACACGCAAAAAATACACCGGGTAAATGACTGACGTTGATATTTTTTTACTCGAGCGTTTTAATACTTTTAGCACTCATTACCAGCATTAGTTGAGTGATTCTAACCTCAGTCGTACCGACTGTGCTGGTATATACGCTTAGATGTTATTGTATCTGAAGGAAACACATTGGTCTACTATCTGATTAGAGGTAATCGTTTAAAACTAAGTGTTATTCATTGCAACAATCTAAGCTGCCTCTTTTTAATTCCTTTCCATTCCGACTGGGACGCAGGGCTTCACGTTTTAGCTTTGAAATTTCAGTAGCAGTGGTATTTTGTGTAGGCGGATACAATTTGCATAAAGATGATCTGACATTCAAGAGACAGTCACAAAGAGATGCAAGCTTAACCTTCTGTGACAAACAACCACCAATCAGAAGACTGTGTTTTTCTGATAACAATAATCTATAATAGTGTACATGAAAATCTATAAATATGTGTTGATTTCCTTAATGAAGGATCTGTTATCTGGCGCACACTTTTCTTACAGACCACTTGAATGAGTCCAATGTGCTAGCTGGCTCGATAGTGAAGATCGAATGGCCAGGAAGGATAAGCAAGCAACAAGCAACTGTGGGAACGAACCAACCAAGCAGCTGTTGCTCAACAAATATGTAGCAGGAAATGCAGGTGGGTAGGATACTTATCAAACGGTTGAGTGACATCGTGTTCTAGATCGGTTCTAAAGTGGAACCGGAACGGTAAACCATGGGGAGGATACAGAAAAGATCGTGAAAGGCGGAGATGAGAGACTATCGGCAATCGTGGGACCATAATTAAGAGGTAATACTTCTATGGTGAGATCTGGCTGCTAGCCATAATTGGTGGACAGTAATGTACATCAATCTTTATGTCCCTAATATTGGTCGTGAGAAAAATGAGAACAAAGACTTTGCGTGGGCGGTTACAATTAGCATATAGATGATCTGACATTCAAGAAACAGCCACAAAGAGATGCAAAATTAACTTTTAGTGAGAAACAACCAATCAGAAGATTGCGTTTTTCTGCTAACAATTATCTATAATAATGTACATGAAAATCTATAAATATGTGTTGATTTCCTAAATAGACGATCTGTTGCCTGGCCCTTGTTTTCTGTTGTTACAGGTACATAGGTCGTTGTATTTGCGTCCTTCCAAAACGTGTTAGAGGACATTACCCAGCGTGGCTGCAATGAGGAGGCACCGGTTCAATCAGAAGTGCTATTTATTGAACATCTGACCAACACCTCCCACAACATCTCAACTAAATTTTTGTACAAAATCAACATTATTTTTCCTCCACTTTTTTTTCTCTCGTACCGTTAACCTCCGATTTTTTTTTGTCATTGCTTTTTAGTTACCTGTCAATACACATGTTAATGGAGTACATCTACCAGACACAACATGCAAGTTTAAACCGAAAAAGTGTACATGTGATCGTTCATTTTTATCTAAAGATAATGAAACACCTACAAGTATGGATACAATGTCGTCATCAGTTGGCGAATCATTGAATTCAACAACAAACACGCCTAATCATCATTTGAATGGGGATACAGAAGTCATTGATATATCAAGCGATGAAGACGAATCAAATAAATCAGTCAATGGAAATGAATGGTCTCATCTACTTACAGGCGGTGTTGGGGATGTTGGTGGTGATGGGGATGGGGATAATAGTTATCCGAATTTTTCGGGAAATCGAACACGCGTTAAACGATGCAGTAAATGGAGTTGTGGACCAAGAGGTTATCGTGTTCTATCACTCGATGGTGGCGGGATTCGTGGACTGATTATTGTACAGATACTTCGAGCTTTAGAAATTGCCAGCGGGAAAAAAGTTACAGAATTGTTTGATTGGATCATTGGTAATACTTCCGTTTTTGTTCTTTTTTGCTTTTTTAAATATAAAAACTCTTTTTGTTCGAAATTAATATGAGAATACGATTGTGTAATTTGTTTTTCATCATATGAGTAGCATAAGCATAAACTGAAAGGGATGTATGATGAATCATATGTTTGTCTTAGGAAAATTTGGTGAACCTGTAACAGTAGAAGACAGCAGAAGTATTCGATAACGGAATTAATTATTGTCATCTTGGTATATATATACATGGTGCGTCGGTGGCACAGCGGTTAGGACTCTTGCCGATCATGCACATGGTCTGAGGTTCGATCCCCTGCCGACCCACACCTCATATCTATGGTCGGCCTGCAAAATTTGGGCTACCGATATCGCATGCTGAAAATTCCATACCTGTACCAGAAAATAGTACGGTATGGAATCAAGCTGTAATAAACACATACTCAAATATGCGAATCGATAAAAGGAACACCAAAGGGATCATCGCCCATATCAAAATTAATAGCTGAAGCCGCCATGCAGTGATTAGAATCAGTAGCTCTACCTATAATTAAACTAAAAGTCTGGGTACGTTACGTTGATGATACATTTGTAATAATTAAAAGAAATGTAATTTGATATATACACATAAATAAGTAAACAACATATTAAAGGACATCAAATTGACAAGAGGACAAGAACTAGGTAACAAAATCCCATCTTCAAATTTCTCAATCAGGAGAACTAACACAAGAAATTTAGAAACACAAGTATATAGAAAATCAACGCAGTCACACTCACAGATCAAATACTCAACCGTAGTAGCGATATCCCAATTACCCACAAAAGAAACTGTGTGCAGACATTGTTTCAAAGAGTTCAGACATACTGTAGCACTCTTGTGTTGAAGCGAATGCAGGAAAAATACCTACTAATCATCTTAAAAAAGAATCGATATCCTCACAGTTTTATCAAAAAGTGTTTAAACTCGAAGTGATAACACCAACAGCAAGTCAAAATTAAAGACCACAAGAAAATTAATCCTAGCATATATAAAAAATATCTCTGAAATAACAGCTAGAAAATAAAGATCGTTTGAAATCGATATAGCACACAAGCCATGCAGCACAATCATTTCATTCGATTATTGTCCAAACTAAAAGATAAAACAGAAAAAGAAGATAAAATTAATACTATTTACAAAATAAATTGTATGAGGGTGTAACAGAAATTTTAAACCGAGGAAACCTTAAATGTGCCAGAGAATTCCTAGAAGCCTGGTACTCAAACGAATATGCGAATAACTGACATGTTAATATAAACGAAAAAAAAGTAAATCATCTAACGAGAAGGTTTACAATCCAAGTCAATAAAAAGCGATCAATACAGATGTAAAGATGGTTACCAGGATTTCATCAATGCTTAAAGAAATTTAGCATAAAATCTTGCATACTGCATAACTTTTTATCTCTGATCTCATCTCTGTTCATTGAATAAATAAGTCAATTCCCAATGAGTAATAATCATTTGCATATTGGATATTTAAAATTTTGATTGTTTGGCCTATTCGTTAGGAGAGTAGATGAACGCCTCGATCAACAACCCTCTAGGATGAGTTCGTCTTTTGCTGAATACTGATTCTTGTATTTACGAATACTGAAACTAAAGTGCCCTATATTCTTAATTCTCCTATTAATGTGTATTCCCTGAGAGGATGTTCTTGATTGAGATATGTGGAATTGTATTGTGATCGCCCAACGTTTGCTTTTCTTACGATGATGAAATTTGTGCACTTTAAAGTTTCTCATTTGTGATCTAAATACTTCAATGGTTAAATAAATATACAAGTCCACTTTAATTACCTTAAGCTATTTTACAAGACTTTTAGAAGCAACGAAACGTATAAAAGAAGAGGAGGAGTCTTGTCGATTACATTCAACAGTTCTACTCACATTTTACCGCTTCACAATTTACTTCTCTTAACGTAGGTAATGCTAGATAGTTGGAGGCATTCTTCATTCAGGAAGCCCACTCTGAACTAGGTTTCTTGCTTCTTGGCACACACACGCACACACCAGTCACCCAGGTATGTATCTATCTCCAACCTTGTAGAAATTCATGTCCTTCCTGGGATTTCAACTCGTCTTACCCCCAGTGATACAGTCAGAGACGTTACCATTGAGCTATTCTGTGTAGTATTGACTGTATTGAATACTTTGATTGGTTTCAAGTGTTGGTTTGTAGGGATTTGATTAGTTACAGGATTTCATCGTGAGCTGACATTAGTTAGAGGACCATTGGAAAACCTGGGAGTACTGGATAGTGGTCTCCATCGTCCTAATTTGGGACTCTTCAGCACTACGCACCCACCGGGGTTCGAACCCAAGAACTTCTGGTTACAAGGCGAGTTAGCTCGTATACCATTAGGCGACTGGGATCCGATCCAATGGACAGCCCATGAATTCTAACTTCTGCCAATTCACTACATAGCGTGACCACTAGCCAATGTCTTCGGCGATTATTTGTTCTCACACCCGACCTGGTGCACCGTACTGGTCACGACTTCTCACTAGAATCCCAGGCAAATATCTACCTGAATAGGGCAAGTCGCCAGTGAGCATCTCATCGATATTCAAGTGTTGGCTTGTAGGGATTTGATTGGTTACAGGATTTCATCATGAGCTGACATCAGTTAGAGAACCATTGGAGTCCCGGTGGGTGTGTACTGATGAAGAGTCCCAAAAGAGGATGAAACAGCTGTCCAGTACTTCCAGGTTTTCCAGTGGTTCTCTAACTTATGTCAGTTCATGATGAAATCCTGTAACTTGGATTGGATATTAGGTTTTCACCACTGGCTAATGCGTCTAGTGCTTTGTTTAGCGTAGACTGAATTCTGTCACAGTCAAGTTTGCAATGTGGCCACCACCGTGCCACTGGGTACTGGGTAGGTGGCATCTGACAGCAACAATTCTGACTGCACTGCACCGTGGTAGCGAGCCAGTAAACAAAGGACGATACACACATGGTACTAGTTTAATTACTCTCTATCTAGTGTTCAGTCAAAATGTAGTAAAACTTCTTTAATTAGTAAAAAATGATATTTGTAAATAATATCACCCTGATAAATTAGTCAGAAAGTATGTAGGGAAATGTAAAGGTAAAATAAACAATGATAGCAGTGACAGTGATAATGATAATAATATTAAAAATAACAATCATAATAATACTAATATTAATTATGACATGCATTTCAAACATACACAGGATAATAACAACATCAAAGATAAGGAATCTAAATCATGATTAGTAATTCTATACAAGGAAGGAGCCTCAGAAACCTTACGCAGAATTCTTAACCATGTTGGCAGAAATGCAAGTGGCTGGTATTCAATTACCCACAAACTCAATTAGAAACATGCTGTGTTGGTTAAGGGATCATGTGGAGCCTTTAAAACAAGACAATTTACTTCATCTAATACGCTGCCTGCAACGACTGTCAGGTCAAATACATAGGTGAAACTAGTAGAACAGGGTTAGTCAGTCAGTCATACTAGCGGAGCACAAAAATCAAGCAGCAAAATCTAGATTAGTTGACTCGAATAAGATAGGAAATCTAGAGAACAGTTCAGCTGTAGCACTGACTGCATGTAATTACACACAACCATACAATATAGGCTGGATGGGATAAGATGACAGTTTTAAAATCTAATGTTACAGGGTGGAGAGAGAGATTGGTAAGGGAAGCTTTGTTTATCGAGTCAACTGAAAGAGAGAGAGAGGATACGTGTAAGAGGAATGATCCACCCAGATATCGGGAAAATTCTACTGCCTAAACGACGACAAATAGGCGAGAATAAAGAAAACCAGAAAGCTCAAGTTTCGAAGTAGTGTTATTTTGATTGGCGATATTATTATGAACCGCAATAAACCTTGTCATCCAGTAAATACTAATACTGTTTCACTCACTGTGTGATACATTTAATAAACAAACTAATATCTAGTTGTCCTGGGTTCAGGACTTTTTACGCCTGTGTCGTCCATGGACAACCGTGTAGTCTCATAAAACCTTAAAAACACGAAGTGCTGCTCATAGCTTAGGACACACACGCAAAAAATACACCGGGTAAATGACTGACGTTGATATTTTTTTACTCGAGCGTTTTAATACTTTTAGCACTCATTACCAGCATTAGTTGAGTGATTCTAACCTCAGTCGTACCGACTGTGCTGGTATATACGCTTAGATGTTATTGTATCTGAAGGAAACACATTGGTCTACTATCTGATTAGAGGTAATCGTTTAAAACTAAGTGTTATTCATTGCAACAATCTAAGCTGCCTCTTTTTAATTCCTTTCCATTCCGACTGGGACGCAGGGCTTCACGTTTTAGCTTTGAAATTTCAGTAGCAGTGGTATTTTGTGTAGGCGGATACAATTTGCATAAAGATGATCTGACATTCAAGAGACAGTCACAAAGAGATGCAAGCTTAACCTTCTGTGACAAACAACCACCAATCAGAAGACTGTGTTTTTCTGATAACAATAATCTATAATAGTGTACATGAAAATCTATAAATATGTGTTGATTTCCTTAATGAAGGATCTGTTATCTGGCGCACACTTTTCTTACAGACCACTTGAATGAGTCCAATGTGCTAGCTAGCTCGATAGTGAAGATCGAATGGCCAGGAAGGATAAGCAAGCAACAAGCAACTGTGGGAACGAACCAACCAAGCAGCTGTTGCTCAACAAATATGTAGCAGGAAATGCAGGTGGGTAGGATACTTATCAAACGGTTGGGTGACATCGTGTTCTAGATCGGTTCTAAAGTGGAACCGGAACGGTAAACCATGGGGAGGATACAGAAAAGATCGTGAAAGGCGGAGATGAGAGACTATCGGCAATCGTGGGACCATAATTAAGAGGTAATACTTCTATGGTGAGATCTGGCTGCTAGCCATAATTGGTGGACAGTAATGTACATCAATCTTTATGTCCCTAATATTGGTCGTGAGAAAAATGAG